GGGATTGAACCGCGGTCCCTGTGCTTTGCTAAGCTTGTTCTAAGTAGGTGCTTTAGGCCACTGAGCCATCTCACCAGCCCCAGCTACACTCTTTTAAGTTATACTTTTATGCTATTAGCCTCATAACCAGTCATTTCATTTTTTTCACTTTTGGTAATAGGCAACTTTAGCAGTAGTTCTTCAGAGTCCTGTTTATAGATGTGTACAATCTGTTTATGTTTAGTTCATTAAATTTTTTTCATGTTTTCTCCCCAAACAGGAATTGAGTGATGTTTACATTTTCTGTTTCAGATGATGATGCCAGGACTGAAAACGGAGCGCTCGCTCCAAAGCAAGAGGTTGCTTCAACAGTAGAATCTCATGAAGTTCCTGGGACTCTCAATATAGGTGTTCCTCAAATTTTTAAATATGGAGAAACCTGTTTCCCAAAGGGCAGGTTTGAAAGAAAGAGAAATCCCTCTCGAAAGAAACAGCATATATGTGATGAATGTGGAAAACACTTCAGTCAGGGCTCAGCCCTTATTCTTCATCAAAGAATCCACAGTGGGGAAAAACCTTATGGATGTGTGGAATGTGGAAAAGCATTCAGCAGAAGTTCCATCCTTGTACAGCACCAGAGAGTACATACTGGAGAAAAACCTTACAAATGTCTTGAATGTGGGAAGGCTTTTAGCCAGAATTCTGGGCTTATTAATCATCAGAGAATCCATACAGGGGAGAAACCTTATGAATGCGTTCAGTGTGGGAAATCCTATAGTCAAAGCTCAAATCTTTTTAGACATCAGAGAAGACATAATGCAGAAAAACTTCTGAATGTTGTGAAAGTTTAAGATATTACAAAAAAAATCAGCACTCAGGTCTTTTTCTTCAGAAATGGAGACAAAAATTAAACCATGAAGTGATACAGAATAGTTTTTTTCCCTGTTGACTCTCAGAAAATCTACTGGGAAATACTAAAAAATCTTCACTCACCATGATTATTTTATCTTGAAAAATGGTGTTATGCCTGCCTAGCAGCTGAAATTAAAAACTTAATTCAGGTATTAATGCCTAAATTTTCATGTGATGTTTATAATTTGTTTTCCAAATAATGAACTACTTTGTTCTTTGTCCCTTTCTTAAAAGTTTCATTTTTCAGACAGCTAACTTATTTCTATGTTAGTCATTGAAATGTTCTCTGTAAAGATACATTCCTTTCTCTTTTAGAAGGTAGCATAGGACTTACACAGTCTGGATACCAGACTTAAACCATTGTAAAACCATCTTTTAAAAAACTTACTGTTCTCTTTTTATCTATTTTAAATAAACATTTCAGAAAATAGAGGCTAAAAGATGGCTATAAACCTCAAAATAAAATGAGCCTTAAGATTTGAGATAAATTTTGGTGATAAAACTTCAAAAAGTAAGTAGAGCATTCGATTGGGAAAGATACACAGATTGACTTAACCACTGAATTATATCAGTTTAAGTAGTCATTGCCTAGAGGAAAACTTAAAATGTTGTTTAATCTAGGGCCTTCTTAATAATGAAAATGTTTTCCGATGTGTCATTAAAAAGTAGTTTGAACAATAATTATAAAGCTGAAGGTAGTAATTAGAACACTTAAGCATTTGCGGTGAATGGCAGTATTAAAAAGCAAATGTAAACAGAAGGTTAATGGTCTGTTGTGGCTTTTAGAAAGATTCAAGGTCTAATGCATTCTTATTTTGCCTTTATCTGTTGTGGACAGAATATTCCCTGACAGGTGGGCAACAAGTATCAGGTCTGCTGTTTTTATTATTTTGGTACGGAAGAGTTGAACAGGCAAAAAACAGTCATGCATTTCTTAAACATTTTCTACCAACAAGGCACTGTGCTAGGTACTGTAATCCTATCATAAGTGGATAGGTATTTCTTCCACTGTAAATCATAGGGGTTTGGTACAAAGCTGTTTTATGTAGTTAGCTTCTTTTCCCTGTCAACATTCCCAGAAGGGGTCACCGCTGAGATTCCCAGAGCCATAGTTCTCTCACCAGGGTGTTGTAGTTGGAGGGAAAGGAAGACTCAGCTCAACAAGCTGGCTGGATCTCCAGCTTTCCTCAGAGGTGAGTCCAAGATAGACTTTATCACAGTTTGGCAGTTTATGAATCTTTTAAAAACAAAACTAAACAATCTCTAGTAGCATTGAGGTTGTACCTATGTGTGAGGTTGAATGGACTCTTCTACTTTAAAAATAACTAGGCTATTAACAGCTAGTTTATTAACTATCAGAGTTGATTAAACTATTTTTTTTAACTTTCAGCTTACACATTTTAAAAATGTATTAAAGTAATACGTTGTAGTAGTAGGATGATGTGCTCCTTGGCTGAGAATCCCAAGTACTGTGGTTCTACTGTTCAGTGGAAAACCCAGGAAGTTGAATTAGAGGGAAGACTTTTAAAATGGGCATTAAAGTATGAAAAGTGATCTATGTGGATATAAATATTTAGTACTAGATATTTGGGTTCTATTAGGTGTTTGGATCCGATTTTAAAATGAAAGGTGAGATTTGCATGAGCCTATTAAAAGGGCATACTAGTGCTGGGCCAGCCGGTGGAGAAGTGAGGCAGAATGGAGCTTGTTCATAGATTTTTTTGATAACAATTACAAGAAACATGCTTTATAGATTAAGATTTATTGAAGTATATGTAGTAATGATATAATGTATTTTAAGTTATATAAGAAAATGTAGGGACTTTTGTTTGGGTCTTTTTCTCTTTGTGGCTGAGAGGAAGCAAGTCAATGTCCAATAAAGCTCTAAACTCCTCTACTCTTAAGGTAAAATGATCTTGATTGATTTATTTATAAATGACTTTTTCTAGGTAGCTTTTGAGGTAGTATCTTTGGAAGACTGCTGGGATGACAGAATTCTTGTATCAGACTAGATAAGGGATGGGTCTCTCAGGCTGGGAATTTTATGCTTTTAAGTATCTTATATTGCCCATATACAAGGAAGTTTCCCTGTGATTTGTCATGAATGCCAAAGATGCTTGGTAATATAAGAGAACAGAAAAGGTACCATTAGAGTTGGCAAATACATTTTTTTCTTGCCAGCTATGATACCTGTCTATTGTTCAGAAAGAATTCTGAGGTTAAGGCAAGGCTTGGTGGAGAAAGAGCACTGGACCAAAAATAACTGAATGATGGTACATGGGGAAAGGACCTGATGACGTGTGCACTTACATCCCCAGTTAGACTTCAGTCGCTACTAGACAGGTGTTCAAAATAACTACATCATCCAGACATTGATTTATACCCACATAGATAAACATGGTAATTTGCAGGGATTCCTAGCTTCTGATGAAGTGGTAAAGTGCCAGTTGCCAAGCAGTGGCCTACCCAGGACTCTGGTTAGCAAATGAGATTTGTGTTAGGGTGTGCAGACTGCTGGTGACTCAGTCATCTCTGAGCATTTGTTGCTGTTAAATTTTTTCTGGTTTTCTGGGAGGTCATATTCTTCACGTTGACACTTACTTGACATTTTGATAATTTTACATATGTCTTATGCTTGGTGGGGAAGATTACATGTATTGAAATATTCTTCATGCTAAGCATTGAATTAGTCACTATCCCTATCACCTCTATTTGCAGACACCTGCATTTGGACAGTAAGAGCTAAAACTCAAATTTAGTTTTCTTGACTCCAGAGACATACTTCTATGTTGAGTAATGTCTATTAAATCTTAGTTGATAAATATGTTTATGAGTTCTATGATAAGCATGTTCATCTGAATTAACAGTACAAAAATGAAAAATGGAGAAGACATTTCCTTTTATAATCTTAGCCAGAAGTGATGGTAGTGAGGTTTGTTCTTTCAGATTTAGGGACACATGTTTTAAGAAAAAAAAAAAAAGAAATATTAATAGCTAATACTTAGGGTTGTTGTGTACAACACCAGTTGAAGTGCTTTACCATGGATTAACTCTTAACTCTTGGCAACAATATGAGGTAGGTACATACCCCATTTTATAGGTACTGTGCTAAAACTTGCTTCCCCTTCCACATTTTTGAATACATACTAATTTATTTAACCCCACCTTGACAGATTATTAAGTTCTTTATAGATGCAGATAGAGTATAGTTAATATCCCTGTACATATATCTTGCTACTTACATGGGTATTTCTGTAATATAAATAGCTAGACATGGATATATTGGTTAGAGAGTACACATTTGATATTTTTGAGAAATACCACTAAAGAGATTGTACCAATTTATATCTCCATTGATAGTTAAAAAAAAAAAAACAACCCTGCTTATCTATAGTCCCACCAACACTGCATCCTTAAGAATTTTTGCCCTTTCAATAGGCAAAATGTGTCTTAACTTTCTTTTTTTTGTGCCTTTCCTTGTTGGGAGGAACGTTTTTTCATGTTTATTGACCAGTTTCATTTCTTTTGTGAATTCCTTTCATCCATTTTTCTCTAATTATGAAAGTATAAATGACTACCTTCTCATATAAAATTTGATTGATACACAAGTAGAAGAACCAAGACCATTTTTCCGGGGCTTCCAATCACATTCCACCTTCCATAGGTTAGTACATATCTTTCCACTAACTTTTCCATATGAATAGAATTAGCATATAAACACTATTTTTACATAAATAGGATCATATATAGGAATTGCTTTTTTGTCTCAAAGAGAATGAAGTCTTTAAATTTCTTTGATGGTTGAATGGGATTAAATGCTATCAAGCATTGAGGATGACATTATTCTCCATTTTTCTTGTGCTATTATATTGCCAAAGTAAACATCTTATTCAGATGTCTTTGTGCATATGAGTGAATGTTTCTTTAAGTTGGAGTCCTATAAAGTGGATTGTTGGGTTGAAGGCTATTCCATCTTGACAGACTTAGCTTTCCAAAATATTTTCATACCTTTTATATTTTCACCAACTGGAAAGTGCTCATTTCCCCATATAGCCTTACCTACACTTGATAGTCTCTTACATGTTGGGCAAAAGAGATTCCTTATCTTGTTTTGTATTTCCCTGGTAAGTAGTGAAGTTGGGTTATATTCATGTTTATTGGTCATTTATGGTTTTAACACTGATTGTATCTTTTACCTACTTTCCTAATGGATTGTGTGGATATTTGTTGCTTTTGTTTGTTCATCATCTCTTTCCTCGTTTTCTGGTAACAAAACCCTTATTTATTGTGGTAAATCCATTCTGTGTGGCTTAGGTGAGCACGCAAGACAGGCTTGGCCTCCTGAGTCCCGTAGCTCCCTAGCCACTGTAGTTAAAGAATCGACATGTAACTTAAGCCAGGCTGCTACAGAGAGCCTGCAACAGATTGCTGGAACTACTGGAAACAAGGTTTTATGGAGATCCCAGGAAGTGAGGATGCTGCAAGCCTGAACTTGTACCTTCTGGAGAAAGTCTGTCTGTGGGGAAACTCAGAGGCTAGCAGAAACAGGAGGAGAACTAAGTTCTGATACCATTTTCCTGGAGGCCCTTTATCCAGCTGTGCCTAAAGCCTGCCTGCCCTACCTCCAAACTTTTAAAGTTTTGTGAGCCAATAAAGTCCCTTTCTTCTTTTAAGATAATTGGAGTTGGTTTCTGTCCTGATTAATATAGGTTATTTGTATTTTCTTATTGATTTGTAGAAAACCTTTGTAATTTTAAATTCTAAACTTATACTTCATGCGCTATATGTTAATAAAACTAGCATGGCCTTCCATGTTTGGCCTCTGAACCTCTGCCATTTGTTACTTCAATTTCACTGCTCTCTAAACCACACCATTTGCATAAACACTACAGCTGTGTTGGTACTGAAAGGCGTGCATAAATAGCCTTTCACACAACTGTCTCTGAAAGTTCTCATCCTTCCTCCAGATATATTCATCTAGGACTCTAGGACTGTGTATGTAGGGAAGACCATTCATTCATTCATTCATTTATTACAGGGTCTCACTGCACAGCTCAGACTTGTAGTGATCCTCCTGTTTCAGTCTCCCCAGCACTGAGATTCTGGGCATGTGCCGCCACACCCGGTTTCAGTGGCTGCCACAGTGCACCCAAGGTTCCAGGGCTGGCACAGTGTGCGATACCCGGAATGTAACCCAGATCCTTGTGCTTGGCAGGCAGGCGCTTACACTGCTGAACTATCTCCCCAGCTGATAATTGAGTTCTTACAAAACTAAAATACTCCTTAGTATATGATTGGGCAGTTGTTCTCCTTGGTGTTTATGCAAGAGTTGAAAACTTAGATTCACACAAAACCTGCACACATGTTATAGCAGCTCTATTTATAAGCACTTTAACTTTAAAGCAACCATAAAGTCCTTCATTAGGTGAATGGGTAAACTGGTAATTTTTGATATTGGGATGTTGTTTAATACTAAAAATAATCAGCATCAAGCCATAACTCAAAGGCACATAAAAACCAAGTGAAAAGTGCTGTGAAAGGGTTGCTGTGATTGTAACTATAAAGCAATCTGGATTAGGCAAAGCCATAACTACCTAAAAGATCAGGGATTGATAAGATGGAGAGGTGCCTTCTACTCAGTTACACTATAAACTCAAAACTAAGAAAAATCCTAAACATGAATGAGATGCAACTGACATACCACTTAGAGAAAAATGTATAGCAATATGATAGCAGTGCTAAGATGCTGGGGAGATGGCTCAGTGGCGTAAGTGCCTGCATGGCAAGCATAAGGACCTGAGTTCAATCCCTGGTTAAAAT